ATTACGGCCCATACCTCAAGATTTTTTAATAGACAATGGAAAAAAGCAAGCCTCGCAAAATTTCTCATTGCAATATATTCATTTATTTACAGAATCTTCATTTTATACAATCGGCAAGTATCTAATTTATTTACAATTTCAATCTTAGCCTATGTCTGCAATGAAAATTTATATATAAAAGAAACCTATGAAAATTATTTGCGATGAATGATTACTTACGTACGCCACCATTGTTGATTGTTGCGATATCTATGTTTACATCTAAAAGCCGTTGATCCTTCACCAATACATCAACATTGCATAAAACGAGGAATACAAGAAAATGAGGTTCCAACTTGAAGAATATCATTTTCAATATTTGTTGAGAGCTGAAATTGTGTCAGTTTCAAATCGCTTGAAAGACTGTTTCTTATGCAGCGAAGCGATATACTTGAATACGTTCTAAAATTGTCTGATTTTATAAACTATTCTCATGCTTAAATTGCATTATAAATGTGTGAAAATAACTATTTAAGTGGTTTCGTCACTCAGTGTTCCCCTCGACTTCAGTTAAATAGCAATAAGTATTCATTACCGACTGATAAACGATGTCATGGTCCCTGTCAAGGATCATTAATTAAAAGAGCCCATTAAAAATTCAGCGTATACTGGATTTCGTAAACACCATAAATACTTTATCTGGGCGACGAACCGAGGCGATTTAAAACTATCCGTCTGTCTCAAGAAGTAAAAGAGAATATTTTAAAGGAATACAATCCCTTTTTGGAATCCAACACTCTTCATTCATTTACAAATGCTTGACTTAAAAAAATTCTAAATATCTAATTTTTTGGCCATCCCAAGATTAGCCAGTGTTCATATCTGCAAGGAAGAATTGAGTGCAAGCTAAACATATTGAAAATATTTCAGAAATATTATAGCTTACTTATACCACCAACATCAATTGTAAACAGTGGTAGGTGTAAATTCAAAAATGGTCGCGGCGCTGCCAAATTATCCCGGATACTTAAGGCGAGGACAACAAGAAAAATACCTTCCAACCTGAGCCAGAGTTTCATTTTGATGTTAGTTTAGATTAGTTGAAATAGTGTGAAAGACTGTTTCTTATAATTCGCATTGATTTTCTTAAATACTTTGTGAAGTGCTCTAATTACATTTTAGAATCTTTACTATCATGCTTCAATTGCATTAGAAGCGAAAAAAATGCGTGAAATAACTCTTTAAGTTTTTATATACCTACAATATTTTATATTCTATGTATGTATGAGATGTGATAAAAAAAATTCACATTTAAGCTTGACACAATTTACATATACAGTGGACCCTCGGTTAACGAACGCCCAAGCCCAATGTTTCATAAGATTAACAAAATTGTTATCGAACATTGTCACAATGAGCAATGGCTCATTGTAAAAGTCTACAATAAGAAATAAAGAAAATTATATCATTAATTAACTTGCTTCATTACAACTAACTATTGAAATGATTGCTTATCTGTACGATTCGGCGGTAAAAATATTAGTCATCAATATAATTATATTTATTTCTATACTTTATTATTAWCTATTACAAAATTAATATTATTTGAAAACCACTAATTTATACATATATAACTTATTTCTATACATATATGTATTTCAAAAATATTAAGCTTGATGGGATGGGATATCTGTAAAGGGAAAGAAAACTTGATAAAATCATATAAAACATATAAAAAAGAAAATTTCATGAAAATATATAAATTATTATTATGTTTTAATTATTATTATGGCTACTGTTAATTGAGGCCAATATACTTGGCATCGCACATCAGTGCTCTCGAAATTCCCCGGATGTATAAGGCAACAAGAAAATACCACTGAAACATGAATAATTTCATTTTGAATATTCAAAATAATCAACGTGTTACGTCACAGTTTGAAGTAAATGCGAGATTGCTAAATGCGAAAGTGTCTAGAGGCCTTTGAGTTGCAATGAATTTTGAGCCCCGAAACAAAATGTGCCAATCGGAGAGCAAAGCGTGTTTTGACCCATTGAGCAAGTATAGGGTATGTCTATTCATTGGAATAGACTAATATAAACATGCATAAATTGCATTATAAGCGACGTAAATAAAAGATTTTAAGTGCTCAAATGCGTGGAATCAGGCACTGATGCCGCTTCGCCCCTCGGAATACGGTTCGGCTTGCGTTAAATAGCCATAACTATTCATTATCGACATATAAACGATGTTACGGCCCCTGTCGAAGTGCTCATAACTTCAGATTTTATATTAAATAAACGAGACAAAGCGAACCCAAACAAAATGTCACGCAGAAGAGGGGAGGGTTAGGCGTCCAGGCAGAGAGAGAGAAAGAGGCACACATATGCACGAGAATCCTTTTGACCCACAAAATTGAATATGTACATACATATATATACATATTTATATGTATGTAATGCATGAGAACCCTTTCTTCTGGTGCTACATCCTGCGTAATTCAATATTTGACTATATGAGATTTATGGCCACAGGGGCTAGCGAGAAGCTTCCGGCGTTACAGAGAGAGTGAGAGAGAGCGGCGTCCTCTTTTTTTTTTCCTTTTTTATTTGTATAAAGTATAATTTTTGATTTAGTGCGATTTTCGTGTCAACGCTGAGCCCTGATGTCGCGCAAAGGGTTAACGCAATAGTTTTGCAATATCCATGGTGCCAAGAGTGGAAAATACGTTTCTGTTTGCTTTGGCCAATGGCGGATATGAGACCACATGCTGGTAGTTATAGTCCCAGGACAGGCAGGACAGGCGGGTGGCTTAGCTTGAAGGGGCCATGGAAAAGGAAAAACAATGGCATTTATTGCCATGTTGAACGATTATTTGATTTTTCACGCACTTAACAACAAACACGAAACTTAAAAACAAACAAAAAATAAAGCGAATGGAAAGTATCGGGCTTGCAAATACCCTATAATGAGTAAATGAGATAGTATATCTAGAGTTGCCTGCAGTGAACAATTATATTGCCTAAAATTAGGTACACTAACACTAACATATAGATATTCTGTTTATAGATACATACATATGTATATACAATTTCTGATAGATATATTCAAATGATTTTACCACATATAATGTATATAGCTAGACATATTTCTCAAATTTTTATATATATTTTTATGTATTATATAATTTCGCTTAATGTTACTCAGCTTTCTACCACTGTGACTGCTGGCGAGTTTCGCAACTTTTGCCTTACCTCTGGCTTAGTTGTTGTTATTATCGTTGTTGTGAATTACGGTAGAAGGCAACAGGCGATTCCAATGGCATTCAGGCAACGGCAGAGGCTGAGGCAGAAGCAGAGGCTGAGGCCGAAGCCTCGGCAGAGGCAGCCAGTCGAGCAGGCAGACGCTTGACGGGCTCAGGCTTCAGTCTTCGCGCCGTGGTGCATTTTGTTTTTTTGTTTTGTTTTTTTTTTTTTTTTCGGGTTGATCCTACAGAGCGAAACTCTCTTTAAGCAATTTTCGTAATATTAGCCAGGAAGTTGGCGTTGCTGTTGCCTTTGTCTTTGCCGTTTGCCGTTTGCCGTTTTCGTTTGCCTTTGCAGAATTGGCTTTGCCAGTGCCATTGCTTGGCATGCCAGCGACCTTATAAGGCCTGGACTGGAGCAACCCTAGCCGAGTGCTGGACACCAGGTCCAACTGGTTTTTACTGCCTTTTGGTATTCCTTTTGCATTTTGGTAACTCTTTTGGCCTGGGCCGCCAAAAACAATGCCGCCTGTGGCTGAGATAAAAAGCTGTTAGCTTGTAGCTTCTGCATNCGCTCGAGCGGGTTGCCTGGCATACCGCAAGAGGCCCCAATACACTAATTGCTTGCAGATGCTGGCCCAGTAAAGGACAGTGAACAGAAAGAGAGAGAGAGAGAGAGAGAGAGGGAGGGAGGGAGAGAGAGGGAGAGCGAGACAATTCAAAGGAAACCCAAAGGCACGCCGAAGCATGCAACAACTTCAAAGAAAGCAGCAGCAGCAGTAGAAGGCACAACAACAACAACATCAGCAGCAGAAAAGTGAACTGAAAAGAAAAGCAACAAAAAAAAAAAAATCAAATAAAACAGCCTAAAGAGAAGAGCAACAAAACACATTGAAATGCCGAACGAGCGAGCGAAAATTTCTTACCTGTTGCAGGTAGAGGCAGAGCGCTAGGCAGAGGAACAGCGGCGCGGGTAAGCGGAGGTCCAAGGCACACGGGCAGCTGCTATGCCACAAAAACCTTTTAAAGCCCTCACGTTGATAAACAACAACAACAGCAGCAGCAGCAAGCAGTTGTTGTTGTTGTTGTTGTTGTTGTGGAGTCGCCGCCACAAACAAAAATAATAATAACTGAGAGCGGCAAACGTCGGCGTCGGCGCGTTGCAAGGCAGCGGCAAAACTCCTCCATCTACAACAGCTCAGAGCTTCGAGCTCCGTGCTCCGAGCTCACGGCTCGCAGCTCCATCTTCAGCCGCAGCAGCAGCCGCAGCTCCAACCAGTTCCGCGCTTTCAACTATGCCAAACATCTCGGCGGCCATACACAAAAGCGGTTTAGAGCCGACGATCGACAGACGGCGGGACGGATGGACGGACAGACGGATGGACAGAGAGACAGATAAACAGACAGACAGACAAACGAGCGTACGTTGTTTTTGTTTTTCATATATCTTTCAGATACACACAACACGCGCGACTGTGTGTCTATGTGTGTGTGTGTGTGTGGCTGGGCATGGCCCGAGCTGAGCCGCGGGACAAGCTGCGCTTTGCGCACTGTTCAAAAGATGCGCTTTTTGCTTGAAGTTCGGCAACACACAGAGGCCGTGCACCGCTGCACAGTGGGGCAAATGCAATGCGAATGGGAGAGAATATGAATAGATTGCTTTTATTTATTATTTAAAAAAAACAAAATTATATACATAGATTTGAAACATCTTATAAATTGCCTATGAAAAATTGGATTTGCTATAGTGAAGAGTTCTGTATTGTCACAGTTAAAAAGTAACTTATAGGGAAACTTCTGTGTTAAGTAATTAAATTTACATATTTATAAAATAATTA